CATGACCTGAGCCGAAGGCAGTTGCTTAACCAACTGAGCCACCCAGGCACCCGATCCTAAAATAATCTTGATTAAACAAAGGGAAGGAACGTTTTCGACAACTTAATCTGGAAAGATAAAGTTTGAATGCTCCTCCGAAGACCCAAGGTTGTAGAAGACATTTAGACCTGACCATTTCTCAGGTTACGTGTTCATGTATCAGATACATATTAAACACTGCTGTGATCCAGGTTCTCTGCAGGAACACGGGGGGACAAGACCAACAGAAGTTCATAGCCAAGTGGAAGGTAGTAAATCTATGGATGATCACCTGACAGTGAAACATCCGCTTACTGATGGGATGGATGCAGACAGAAGCTGGGAACCCAGGACAGATGGAGTCCAGGCCAGGTGTGGACTTTTCCTCCTGATTGTCATTTGGGTCATGCCTTCAGGACAGTAGTACTGTATTTCTGTGACTAATAACGTGATCTTGAAATTAGCTTTTTTGTGTGTACCTTATAGCCAAATACATGCATGGAAATACTCTTCCAAGCCCAAGGACAGTCAGTCATGCAATGTGCCCATGTAATAATCTCAGAATGGCACAAATATAGTGAATCACCAGATATGTGCGCAAAAATGTACGACTTCAGCTTCTACGGTATCAGCACCAGAGCTGACAAGGAACACCAGGGACCCACCAGGGACCCACCAGCAAGACAAGTCACCAGCCCTGGCGAGGAATCACCCTGCAGGAGCACACAAATGTGCCCCCAGTGCTGTCAGCCTGCACGTGGGCAACAGCATCCTCCAGCTTCTGTTTATTGTTGCTTTGCTATGGTGTTCATCCCCTTTGTATCCATGGCATCAGGAACCTGGGGAGTTGGGCGCTTGACCATTCTTCACATCTGAGAACAGAAGGAGCAGAGGGAAGTTAAGCTACTCTAGACAGGTGTGTGAGTAACAGTTTAGGGACAGTTTGAGCTTTCTGGTAGATGCAGCCTAGAGAAATCGGCATCAAAGCAGCTTCTTCATGGAAGCAATATGCTTATGAAAGGGGCCAGGTGTAAAATAAAGTTATTGTTAGCTCTGTTCACATAACATGTCCTTCCCGCTGCGATCTACATCTCATCATACAAGTGGGCAAGGGCATCTCTGAGATGCCCTTTCAGAGGTGGGATGTGGGTATTACTGGTGGTGGTGGTGAGAAGGGGGCTCTGCAAGAGGAAGGCGAGGGTCTGGGGTTCTGTGGACTGGGACCTCGAGGGGGGAGTGTGGTCCACGGAGAGGGTTCCTGGTTCCAACCCCCTCCAGCAAAGCCCCGCCTGAAAGCGTCCTTCCTCTGTGCTCCGCCCCCCCCCGCCCCCACCGCTGGCCCACCCCTGGGATCCGGCCGCGGGGTCTCGGCTCCCCCTTGCAGGATCCGAAGGCAGCTCACCCTGCAGAACCCCGGGGTGAAATCGTGTTGGAGCGGAGGCGTCGAGCATGGGCAGAATTAATCCAACGTGGGCGGCCCGGGCGGACAGGATTACGCGGGCAGGTCGAGAGGGGCAGTGTGCGCAGCCTGTCCCTCCCTCGGCCGGAAGATGGATGATTTTCGGGGACTGCTGTCCCAACGCCCCGGCTCGCTGCAGGGAGACGTCAGAGCGCTCGGGGCCGCGGGAGAAGAGCCCCCCGCCCTCCCCCCA